TGGCTCAAGTGATCCTCCAGCCTCAGCCTCCCGAGTAGCGGGGACTACAGGCACACGCCACTGCGCCAGGCAAGACTACTGATTTTTAACGTTTTTTTTTTTTCCTGGTCCACCCAACTGGGTGTCGTTTATTTGTCCTCTGAACAGTCACAGAACTATGAACCTTTCCTCTGGTCCTTCTAAGCTGCCTTTCTGAAGTTATCTGGGTTCCTGTCTTGTTCCCCAGTTTTCGACTGTCAGTGCCTGAGGAATCTTTATTCTTGGAGATGTCCTTCAGAGCTAATTAGCCATAATAGTAAGGAAACAGTTTCTAAAAGCAATCATCTTCACTAGATGACGAACTTAATGTTATCCTTAAAATACTTATGAGAGGTTATCCTTGTTAAAAAATAAAAACCATTTAAAAGAATTCAATTATTTTCTTACCTGTCCCAAATTATTCCTAAGACGTAGTCACTAATACACACACAATTTGTAAATTCTTCTAGGTGTTTTTACAAGTACATAAATATGTATACGTGTGATGTCAGTAGAGTTAGATTTTATCATATTTCTTTCTCTTTTTGTGAGACGGAGTTTTCCTTTTTCACCCAGGCTGGAGTGCAGTGGCGCAATCTCAGCTCACGGCAACCTCCCCATCCCAGGTTCAGGCAATTCTCCTGCCTCAGCCTCCTGAGTAGCTGGGATTACAGGTGCCTGCCACCACGCCCAGCTAATTTTTTTTTTTTTTTTTTTTAGTAGAAACCAATGTTCGTCATGTTGGCCAGGTTGGTCTCAAACTCCTGACTTCAGGTGATCCACCCACCTTGGCCTCCGAAAGTGCTGGGATTACAGGCGTGAGCCACCGTTCCCGACCTTATCATATTTCTTTTAATGTTTCTGTAGTGTTCTATCGTGAAATATGGGTCTACCCATATGGATATAATGCCATTGATTCAACTGGCCTGTTTTTGATATTTAGGGGTTTTTCAGGTCTGCTTCTACAGTTTTCAAATTTTACAACTGCCATGATAAAATCTGGTTTTTCTTTCCTTATCACTCCACATTAAGTCATGAGTAAGCTCTTGCACAATCATAGGGTTGTTCCGTAGTCAAAAGATTTAGGCGGTGAAAATCATTCCTGTGGTTTCTACCTCTGAGAGACCCATGTCTTGGAACACAATTTAGAGCCCGTGGATGCTTTCGTTTCTTTCTACTGAGGGTCCGTTGGTATCTGAGCACATTCCGTCTCCCTTTATTTGCCTTTCTGAGCCCCCCCCCCAACTCAGCTGCCTACATTCTCTCTCTTCTGTTGCTTCTGATAGAGCTTTTTAACAATAGGCTCTCCTTTAGCAAAAGTGGGTAACTGTGATTTTTTAAATTATACCCAGCTTTGGTTTCCATATTTCCTCCCCTTCTTTCTTTTCTTTTTTCTTTTTTTTTTTTTTTTTTGAAGACAGTCTCACTCTGCTGCCCAGGCCAGAGTGCAGTGGCGCAATCTTGGCTCACTGCAACCTCTGCCTCCCAGGCTCAAGCAAAGTGGATTCTCCTGCCTCAACCTCCCTCCTGAGTAGCTAGGACTGCAGGCACATGCCACCAAGCCCAGCTAAAGTTTTTGTACTTTTAGTAGAGACGGGGTTTCACCGTATTAGCCAGGATGGTCTCGATCTCCTGACCTTGTGATCTGCCCACCTCAGCCTCCCAAAGTGCTGGGATTATAGGTGTGGCCACCACACCCTGCCCCTCTCCCATCTTTCAATGTTTGGCTCTTAAGAAAATAAATAAGTGCAATTATAGACTTCAGTAAGAATACATGCATTGTGGGGCCGGGCACCGTGGCTCAAGCCTGTAATCCCAGGACTTTGGGAGGCCGAGGTGGGTGGATCACGAGGTCAAGAGATCGAGACCATCCTGGTCAACATGGTGAAACCCCATCTCTACTAAAAATATAAAAAAATTAGCTGGGCATGGTGGCGTGTGCCTGTAATCCCAGCTACTCAGGAGGCTGAGGCAGGAGAATTGCCTGAACCCAGGAGGCGGAGGTTGCAGTGAGCCGAGATCGCGCCATTGCACTCCACCCTGGGTAACGAGTGAAACTCTGTCTCAAAAAAAAAAGAATACATGCATTGTAACCACCTTTTGTTCTAATAAGAACGCTGTGTTCTGTGAAAAGATTTTCAGGAATTGTCTGAGCAATTTAGAGAACCGTTTTGGGCTGGGCAGCATTTTTGTAATCCTAATTTAACAGCCGTGGAGCTACTCTTGTTTTCCATGATTGCTGGGCCACAAGCTTTACACATAGCTGCTGCTGGCTTTGTTCAGGGGCCCCATGCCACTTTCATGGTGGCAATATTTTGCAGTTACACAGTTTTACAGTTTCCCCATGCACGGTCTCATGCAGGCCTAGTCAGTGGTGTGAAGCCTGAAAGAAATTTGGCCAGGTGCGGTGGCTCACACCTGTAATCCCAGCACTTTGGGAGGCCAAGGCAGGCAGATCACCTAAGGTCAGTAGTTCGAGATCAGCCTGGACAGCATGCTGAAACCCCGTCGCTACTAAAAATACAAGAAATTAGCCAGGCATAGTGGAATGTACCTGCAATCCCAGCTACTTGGGAGACTGAGACAGGAGAATCACTTAAACCCAGAAGATGGAAGTTGCAGTGAGCCGAGATCATATCACTGCACTCCAGCCTGAGTGACAGAGGGAGTCTCCATCTCAAAAAAAGAAAAAAAAAGCAAAAAACAGAAACTGCAGCTGGGAGTGCTACCCAGTCCCACCTTATTCTGAACACACTAGGCGAGAAATGCAAATGTTAAATTATATGTTTGGCATAGTTTTAACTGGTCAGCTTTGCATAGTTAAACCTTATGAAACTGCTGTTGTCTGAAGGGCAGTGCACCTGTGAACCTAATACATGTCAGGCATTGAACCAGCCCCAGCAGATTGGCAGTGATCAAGACTCAAATTGAAACACCCAGGAGGCAGAATCCATCCAATGTCTGTGTTTTCTCTCCTCTTCCTTCCCTTTTTTTCCCCTTCTTATGACCAAGATCCAGAACAAATCTTTCTTTCCATCTCTTTTCTTCCCCTGTCTCCTCTCCTTTCGTTCTTCCTATTTTTCCTTTCTTCTTCCTCTCGTTCCTTTTCATCCCTCCATGTTGGATGAAGGATTTGAGGTGGAAACTGTGTTCTCATTACAGTAGCATATCCAGAGTTAACTGTTCTGGTGCACAGTTGACTTAGATTTGTCTCACGTATTCACACAGATTATACCTGTTTCTTAAATTTGCCGTTCATGAAGGAACACAATTCTGCATGATTGCAGATTTTAAGACACTTAAAAAATAGATTTTATATCTCTCTTTTTGGACAATGCCATCTTCTATATTAGGCTACAAATAAGTTGAAATTCCCATCATTGCTTTTATTTTTAAAATAAGTCACTTTAATAATGGAGAGCTGAGAAAAATGAATTTCATGGGTTCGCTGTTTCTTTCGTACATATTTTAATGACATGTACAAGTATTACCTAATAAAATGTTGGTCTTTTGTATGTTGAGCGCACAGATTCTAATTTCCTTTACAGAAATTTGCTTCACCCCACAGCCACTGGAAATGGGCTGCTTTACGTAAAGTTGGTCAGCCCCCGCCAGGAGCTATTTCAGCAGATGGGAACAGCAGATTGCATGTGTTTCAATGTAACACCAGGGGTCGCTGTAAGCTAGAAACCTTCAAGCATGTTCAGAAATGTTGAATTAATGTTAGTCACAAGATTTTAATTTGAATACTTGCTTATTAGTGAGATTTTTTTAAAGTTCTGGTTTCATAATAACATACTGTCTTTAATCATCTTTAAACTGTCCCATTTTAATTCAACTAAAAAGGAAGTACGAATTCCTTATTTACGATTTTTAGAAGTAGCATTGCCACAATCATAAATAATGACAAAGTATCATACTTTCAGGAACATTGAGAATTCCTGTTTCCAGCTGAAATCAGATACGATATCATAAAGTTCAATAGATAAAGCCACATTTGAAATCAGGAAAGATGAATTCTTAAATATGATGCATGTAGTTTAATAATCTTTTTGCCTAAATTTTCTTTTTTTTGAGACGGAGTTTCCCTCGTTACCCAGGCTGGAGTGCAATGGCGCGATCTCGGCTCAGCACAACCTCCGCCCCCTGGGTTCGGGCAATTCTCCTGCCTCAGCCTCCTGAGTAGCTGGGATTGCAGGCACTCACCACCATGCCCAGCTAATTTTTTGTATTTTGAGTAGAGACGGTGTTTCACCATGTTGACCAGGATGGTCTCGATCTGTTGACCTCGTGATCCATCCGCCTCCGCCTCCCAAAGTGCTGGGATTACAGGCTTGAGCCACCGCGCCCGGCTTGCCTAAATTTTCATGTTAGTATGAGACTAGATTATTTCTGAGAGCCTATTCAACTCTTAGTTTTGTTTCGATCCTATTCAGCTCTTAGTTCAATCATGCAATTAAACAAACTTGAACCATCTACCACTTTGAAGTATTCTGATATACAGAAGGCCATGGAGCCTTTTCCTTGAGTTCCTGAAGGGTCACTTTGTTTAGGGATGGGCCTTAGGGGAAGACTGAACCAGGTCTAGGGCTATTGGAGATTTAAATCCACTAAAGAGACAGAACCCAAGTTCTTACCTTGAAAGCAGCTAAATCTCCAGGCAGCCTGGCCCAGTGCTTTCCTCTGGCCATTACGGACCACGCGTTCGCAGGCAGTGTCAATCCTACACGATAACTCCTCCCCTCCCAGAGTCGGTCCAACACCCCCTCAGATACACCCAAGCCAATCAGCTGAAACCAAGGAAACACGTCTCCGGGCTTTCAAGGCCTTCCTTGGGTTTCTCCCAGCCTTCTCAAACTCCTCCAACCTTTGCTTAAGCCAGTTCACGCCCCAGGGCCCTCACCTTCCGTAAATCAGATCAGTTTCATTCCACGTTATTGCTAAGGAGCCGCGGCTCACCCCAGCCTTTGCTTCTCCCGCAGCACCCGATTCCCACGGCTTTCCTGCGTGCTGTGAAGCTCACACAACTCCCTTCATCACTCACCGGTTGTCTGTGTCACTCACCGTCCCTCCGTCACCTTCGTTTTCTGGAATGTAATGATCATCGTGTTACTATATGCAAGTGTATCTGCATCTCCAGTAAATTTTGGTCATAAAAAGAGACCAAATCACATAGCCCCTCCCAGACTCAGTTAACAGCCTAGCAGAGAACAGCTTTCAATGGGTCAGTAACTCAATCCGAGTTGCTATCTAAGGCCTATGTTTGTTTCTGCCTTTGCATGTTCCACCCATCTTTCAGGTGAGAGCGCATCAGAATATGAAACATACTTGTTAGATTTCCATTGGTTTGGGGCCACTGGGGAACCAAGGAGGTTTACTCATAAGAATTAAAATGTAGACTGTATTAGAGATGACAATAGTATTAACCAAATGAAGACAAAGTGTTTAAATAGAAAAGACAGCCAGGCGTGGTGGCTCACACCCGTAATCCCAGCACTTTGTATAATCCTAGCATGGGTGTATAATCCTGAGGCGGGTGGATCACCTAAGGTTAGAAGTTCAAGACAAGCCTATCCAACGTGGTGAAACCCTGTCTCTACTAAAAATACAAAAATTAGCTGGGCATGGTTGCACAGGTCTGTAATTCCAGCTACTTGGGAGTCTGAGTCACGCACACACTTGAACCTGGGAGGCAGAGGGTGCAGTGAGCCGTGATTGCACCACTGCACTCCAGCCTGGGGGACAGAGCAAGACTCTGTCTCAGAAAGAATAGATATTGGCAGGGCATGATGGTTTACGCCTGTAATCCCAGCACTTTGGGAGGCTGAGGCAGGCCAATCACCTGAGATCAGGAGTTTGACATCAGCCTGTCCCACATGGTGAAACCCCATCTCTAGGAAAAATACAAAAATTAGTGGGTGTGGTGGCACGTGCCTGTAATCCCAGCTACTCGGGAGGCTGAGGCAGAAGAACTGTTGGAATCTGGGAGGTGGAGGCTGCAGTGAGCCAAGATCACACCATTGCACTCCAGCCCAGGCCAACATTGCACTCCAGCCTGGGCCAACAACAGTGAGACTCTGTCTCAAAAAGAAAAGAAAAGAAAAGATATTTAAAGTCAGATGTGGTGGCACATGCCTGTAATCCCAGCCACTTGGGAGGCTGAGGCAGGAAGATCTATTGAGCACAGGAGTTCAAGTCCAGCCTAGACAATGTAGAATGTAGTGAGACCCTCTCTAAAAAAGAAAAGATATTTAAAAGTTTCATTTTGGGCTGGATTCGGTGGCTCACGCCTGTGGAGGCCGAGATGGGTGGATCACCTGAGGTCAGGAGTTCAAGACCAGCCTGGCCACCATGGTGAAACCCCATCTTTAAAAGAAAAAAAAAAGTTTCATTTTATGATATGATATATTTGCCCTCTGTGAAATGAATAGAAACACAAACATATGCTATATTTTTAGTGTTAAACATATACTTATGCTGAAATAAAAATTAGTTGCTCTTAGAAGGTGACATTCTCCTGAATCCTTGTAACCTTTAGGCAAATCAGTTTTGGAACTGCATTTATACTCAGGTCAATGTAGAAGTTTAACAGCTATGCTCACAAATAAGGCAAGGGCTGGAAATGGTCAAGCATCTCCTTCTGAAGCTGTCTTAGTCCTCCTGCCTTCAAAGACTCATGTTGTGGCTTCGATGGGGAGAATACTGTTTGTACCTTGCACTTTTCAATTTATGAAGAGGAAGGTAAAGAGTATTAAAAAATTCGATGCCAATCTAGATTAATACACAATTTAAAATAAGTAGTGGAGTTCTGAGCACGCTAAAGGATTTCTTATAATTGAATTTAAGCATTTGTTAAATCTTACCTAAATAATTGGAATACTCTGCAAAGGAAAACGAAAACACTGATAGAAGACTTACTGTGAGCCGGCCTCTATAACAACTTCTCAAAAATCCGAATCACAACACTGCGAGAACCCTCATTTTCCAGAGGAAACAGGAACAGCGTGGGTGAGTCACTGGCCAGAGACTAATGGCCCAGTTTGAAAGTGACAGAGGTGGGATGTCAGTCCAGAGTTCGGCTCTGAGCCAGTGTCACTTTTTAGATGTGAACCATTCTGACGGGTGTGCACTGATATTCTATTTTATTTCACTTAGCATTTCCAAATGACACGGCTCTTCATGTGCTTGTCATCTGCATCTGCTCTCACGTCCTTTGCTCATTGTCTAATTGGATTTTCGAATTTACTATTGTTGAGAGCGCTTTATATATTCTAGATAGGAGTCCTTTGTGGCCGATGTGGTTTACAAATACTGTCTAACATTCTTTCCTGTCACAACATCTTCTCACTCATGTTTCTAACCCACCAGCCTGGAGATAGACTGGGGGGACACGGAGCCCAGATTGCGTCTCATTATTTGTGAGCAGGTCTCAGCGCAGAGTCCACTTCAGCCTCATCAGTGAACCGTCCAACCCTAAACTCGATGTCATCTTTTGTGTACCCCATATTTAGTTAGCATTCTTGGTAATGGTAACAAGTTTGTTTTTAAATTTTCTTACAATAAAACATAACACCAGACATGTTTAAGGAATCCGGTGTTTTAATGTATAAGAAATGCTAGTCAAGGTGTTGTATTCTTTATTCCCTTTAACTCACCCAACCAATGGAAGGTATTGCCGTTATCTTTATGTCTCAGATGAAGAAACCTAGGCCTGAAAAGTTTAAGTAAGTAGCCCAGGTGACATGGCAACAAGAACGAGACGTGTCTCAGGTATGAATCATTCCAGAGACTCTTAGTTGCCAGTCAATATTGTCTCTTTTACATTAGATTTTGTCACAAAAGTATTTGGCTTTTTAAGAAATCGTGAAGTTGCTATGTGTCATTTACCAGAAGAAGGCCTGAGAGAAGTGCTATTGAAAACACTGGATGGGCCGGGCACAGAGGCTCACGCCTGTCATCCCAGCACTCGGAGGCCAAGGCGAGATTGCTTGAGTCCAGAAGTTTGAGACCAGCCTCGGAAAAACAGAGAGACTCCCCTCTACAAAAAAAATAATTAGTCAGGTGTGGTGGTACACTCCTATAGTCCCAGCAACTTGAGAGGCTGAGGTGGGAGGATCACTTTGAGCCCAGGAGGTCAGGGCTACAGCAAGCCATGGTGATGCCACTGCCCTCCAGCCAGGCAACAGAGCAAAACCCTGTCTCTAAAACAACCAGAAATCCCAACTCCAACTCCACCCATGATGGAATAAGAGATTGAATTTGCCCTCAGGTCTAGTTTAACAAAGAAGCTCAAAAGTAAGCCTAAAAAGGATCAAACAGATTTCAAGTAATTTAACTGAAATATTTTTTGGAATACCAAAAAGTCCAACACTTAATTACATAAAATTGGCAACAGTGGCATCTATTCATAAATTACTAGGCACAGAAAGCACTAAAACCTATCCCAATGCCAAGCAGGGGAGGAAAAAACAGACACAGACCTGGAAGTGATGCAGGTAATAGAATCAGCAAAGGCTGAAACGCAGTTATTAAGAATAGACTTCACATGCTCAAGAAGGTTAGAGAAAAGCAGGAGCCTGGTGAGGAAAGAAGGAATATGTGAAAAGGTCCAAATTAAACTTGTAGAGATTAAAAATACAGAGACTGGGCACAGTGGCTCACACCTATAATCCTAGCACTTTGGGAGGCCGAGGTGGGCAAATCACCCGAGGAGTTTGAGACCTGTCCGACCTACCCTCTGCGGGAAGACTGAGCTCGTTCGGAAAAAACCGGACCGCAGGCTAGAGGAAATTCCTTAAGTTCAGGCTTTATTGAGAGGAAAGAGCCTCCGGGCGGACCAGCCGGGAGGAAGAGGAGAATGGCCGCGCCGCTCAGAGGAGCAGGGTTGTTTTATAGGGGGCTGAAGGGCTGGGGGGTGGGGAAGCCAAAAGCCGAGGTGGTGGGCAACTGTTGGTCAGTTTGAACTGCTGGGCGGGAAGCTGGGCGGCGGGAAGCTGGGCGGCGGGAGGGCTAGGGACGGTATGTAAAGTGAGAGATAAGGGAGCCTCTTTGTGGGGGAGGGAAAGAGAGAGAGAGACCTTTTGCGGTAGGGGCAGAGTTTTCCAAACAAGACCAGCCTGGCCAACATGGTGAAACCGTGTCTCTACTAAAAATACAAAAGAATTAGGCGGGCATGGTGGCAGGTGTCTGAAATCCCGGCTACTTGAAAGAATGAAGCAGAATTGCTTGAACCCAGGAAGTGGAGGTTACAGTGAGCCAAGATCACGCCCTCTGCACTCCAGCCTGGGTGACAGAGCCAGACTCCATTCAAAAAAAAAAGAAAGAAAAGAAAAATATCATATCTGAGATGAAGAATACACCAGATAGGGTAAACAGCAGATAAGACACTGCAGAAAAAAGACGTAAAACTGAAGACGAAGCAACTGAAACTGACCGAAATGAACAGAAGAAAAATACCTGAAAAATGAAAAGAGGAACATAACCTGGCTTAAAATGCATCACACATACAATTAGAGTCTCTGGAAGGAGGGGTGGGAGTTCAGACAAAAAAAATTTTTCTTTTTTTTGAGATGGAGTTTCTCTCGTTACCCAGGCTGGAGTGCAATGGCGGGATCTCGGCTCACTACAACTTCCACCTCCTGGGTTCAAGCAATTCTCCTGCCTCAGCCTCCTGAGTAGCTGGGACTACAGGCACGCGCCACCGTGCCCAGCTAATTTTTTGTATTTTTAGTAGAGATGGGGTTTCACCATGTTGACCAGGATGGTCTCGATCTCTTGACCTCGTGATCCACCCGCCTTGGCCTCCTAAAGTGCTGGGATTACAGGCATGAGCCACCGTGCCCGGTCCCCCCCAAAATTTTTTAAAATGGCTGAATATTTATCAAATATAAGGAAAACTATAAGCCAATAGATCGAAAACAAAACAAAACTCACGAAACCCAAAATCAAAGAAACAGAAAAACGCAACCAGGTACATCTCACTAAGCAGCAAATGGCGGCCAGGCACAGTGGCTCACACCTGTGATCCCAGCATTTTGGGAGGCTGAGGTGAGAGAACTGCTTGAGCCCAGGAGTTTGAGACCAGCCTGGGCAACACAGGGAGATCTCATCTCTACAAAAAATAAAAAAGTAGCTAGGAGTGGTGGCGTGCGCCCATGGTCCTAATCGCTTGGGATGCTGAGGTGGGAATATCTCCAGCCTAGGAGTTTGAGGCTGCAGTGAGCTTGGATGGCACCACTGCACTGTGGCGTGGGTGACAGAGGGAGACCCTGTCTGAAACGAACAAAATATAGATGGCAAATTACCACATATATAAAGATATTCACAAGTATTAGCCAGCGGAGAAGTGCAAATCAAAATCGCAGAGAAACCACTGCATACCGACTAAATGCTAAAATTAAAAAGACTTCCAACACCAAATGCTGGCGAAGATACAAAACAACTGTAACTCTCACATTCCTGGTGGGAATGCAAAATGATACATCCACTTTGGAAAAACAGTCTAACAGTCTTGTATAAACTTAAATACTTGCCATATGACTCAGCTGTCCCACTCTTAGATATTTTGTCAAGAGAAATAAATTGGTAAGTTCACGCAAAGCAGATCTTCAAAGCAGCTTTGCTCACAATGACCAAAAGCTGGAAACATCCAGTGTCTATCAGCAGATGGGTGAATAGACACATGGCAGTGTAGCCATTCCAAGGATTTGGTGTTTGTTATCAAAGACCAGCAGGAGGGCAGAAGAATCACAAAAGCTTTATGCTACGTGAAAGATAAAAGCACTCTCCTTGCCCTATTCAAGGTTACGTACTTATATGATCACACTTGTATGAAATTTGAAAAAAATGCCAGGAGTGGTGGCTTTTAATCCCACCTACTCTGGAGGCTGAAGCACGAGGATTGCTTGAGCCCAGAAGTTCAGGGCTGCAGTGAGCTCTATCATGCCACTGCCTAAGCCTGGGCAACAGAAAAAGACCCTGTTTCCAAAAAAAAAAAAAATTATGGAAAAGGAAAAACTAGTGGCAGAAAACAGACAAGTAGGTTCCAGGAGTAGAGGAGATTTGCTTAAAATGGGACAATGGAACTTTTCAGAGTGATGGTAATATTTTATATCACAATTTGGGTGGTAATCACATGGTCAAAACATGCCTGCAATCCCAGCACTTTGGGAGGCTGAGGTGGGCAGGTCACCTGAGGGCAGGAGTTTGAGACCAGCCTGATCCACATGGTGAAACCCCATCTTTTTCAAAAAAAAAAAAAAAAGCAAACACACCAAATTACTTATAATTATACACTTGAAAGTTTTATTTCTTGTAAATTATAGCTCACCAGAGTGTGAGGATATTCTGGAAGCTTTGATTAAAGCAGTAATATAGAGAAAGTCAGCGTAGGAAGCTGAGATCTATGATAAGGACCGCCAGTGGCAAGAAGTACTAGTGAGATGTTGAGCGTTAGGTAAGCTTGCGAGGGTGCAGCGGGGTTTGTTCACCTCCAGGGTGATGAAGAAAGGCACTGGGTAGAGTTCTTAGGAGAATTGCAAGTAAATCATGACAGTAAAGCAAACGTTGAGAAAGACGGAAATGCACAGACAGACACTGGAAGCCCATGACCGCAGTAAATGCTTGAACTGCTGCCTTAGGCGCATTTCCTTCCAATGTGCTTTCCCAGGAGTGCTCACAATCATTTGAAGGAAAACATTTAGCTGCTCGGGAGGCTGAGACAGGAGAATCGCTGGAACCTAGGAGGCAGAGGTGGAGTGAGATAGTGGCACTGCACTCCAGCCCAAACAGTGGGTGGCTTTGTTTCAAAAACACATTTGATTAAACTTCAAACACGACAGTGTTTGAGTAAATACATCACCTTTTTTAAGACACTAGTCAGTCAAGGATAAGGATTAAATTAGCATCTCGTTTCTTAGATAAAACTGGACAGGATTTCTTTTGGGACCAGTAAATAATTGCCAAGAACAATTTCTTTCTTTCTTTTTTTTTTTAAGTCTGAGTCTCACTCTGTCGCCCAGGCTGGAGCCTCCCACGTTCAAGCAATGCTCCTGCCTCAGCCTTCTGAGCACCTGGAATTACAGGCACCCGCCACCACGTCGGGCTAAGTTTTGTATTTGTAGTAGAGACGGGGTTTTGCCATGTTAGCCAGGCTGGTCTCGAACTCCTGACCTCCCGTGATCTGCCCACCTCTGCCTCCTAAAGTGCTGGGACTACAGGCATGAGCCACCGCGCCCGACTTTGCCGGCTAAGGACAATTCTAAAGGTAACTGCTTTTGACAAATCGAAAATATAACTCACAACATCTTCTTTTTCTGGAATAATTCCCTTTCATAGAACTTACCTGAGTGTTGCTTTTGCAAAGATGTTTCCAAATAAGTGATGCCTAATTATGTTTATGTCTACGCAGCTGACATACTGAGGGACTACGAAATCACACAGCACAGGACAACAAGCAACTCGAAGGAATTTCAAATATTCTTAGAAGTATGAATTCCAAAAAAAAAAAAAAAAAAAAAAAAAGGACCGGGCGCGGTGGCTCACGCCTGTAATCCCAGCACTTTGGGAGGCCGAGGCGGGTGGATCACGAGGTCAAGAGATCGAGACCATCCTGGTCAACATGGTGAAACCCTGCCTCTACTAAAGATACAAAATATTAGCTGGGCATGGTGGTGTGTGCCTATAATCCCAGCTACTCAGGAGGCTGAGGCAGGAGAATTGCCTGAACCCAGGAGGCGGAGGTTGCGGTGAGCCGAGATCGCGCCATTGCACTCCAGCCTGGGTAACAAGAGCGAAACTCCGTCTCAAAAAAAAAAAAAAAAAAAAAAAGAATTCCCATCACAGAAAATGTCTTTCATTTGTCAAAATTCTTAATTTCTCAAGTTCAAAAATGCCTTGGCACATTTCCATGGCTCCCAGCTAGAAGGAGAATTTAACTTGGCTCCACTTCCAGGTTTGTAAGAAGACCATTCACAGTTAATTTTATTTTGAAAACGTTTTTAGTTTGAGTCTGCTTTAATTGAAGGCTTAGTCAATGAGCTTTCACTTTAAAGAAAAGTTTTACATGAAAATTGCTATTAAAAAACTCACTGAATATCAAAGCAATTGCTTGGTATGTGTCACATGAAAAACGAAATGACCGAAGCACTTTCACTTTTCCACACTGTAAAGAACCAATTCAGTACCCTTTGCTTAGTGTTTGAAATCCACAGCGAACGCCAAGAATATCACAATTACCTTGTAAAAGTCTAGTTCTTACCCTTTCTTGGTGGAGGTTGAGGCAGAGGAAAGCAAACGCTGTCTAAATTCAGAGTAACACTTCAGAACTCCCTTCCTTAAATCCTGTTTGGGGTATTTATGCATTCGCGCCACCTCTGGCCATCTAATTCAAATTTAAAAGAAGGTCGAGGAGGTGGCTGAAGCCTGTAATCCCAGCACTTTGGGAGGTCGAGACGGGCGGATCACTTGAGGTCAGAAATTCAGAACCAGCCTGAGAAACTTGGTGAAACCCCCTCTCTACTAAAAACAAAAAAATAGCCAGGAGTGGTGACGCGTACCTGTGGTCCCAGCTACACAGGAGGCTGAGATGGGAGGATGGCTTATGCCCACGAGGTTGAGGCTGCTTTGAGCCAGCCTGGGCGACAGAGCAAGGTCCAGTCTCAAATAAATAAACAAATAAATGTAAAAGAAGAGCTTTTTGGTCTTCAGGTAGGAGTTAATCCCGTTTCCCAGGAGATGGGATATAGATTAATCATTGCAGGAGACACCAAAAAAGTTTCATCAAGTTTTGTTCTAGGATAGAGCAAGACTGACTCACCGACTTAGCAAATAGTTATTGGGGCCCTCATGGGTTCCAGGCAGTACTAAACACTAGAAATTTGAAAAATGAATAAATAAATTCGACCAGGTCATGTAGAGGGGAGTGACAGGAAGCAGTCAATGCAGCGGTGACGATTCTTTGTGGGTGCTGTGATGCTCACAGCAGCTCTGGGGCAATGCAGTCTCAGAAGGGACAGCCATCTACTCTTGAGGCAAAACAAAGGGTCAGGAGGTGGCAAGTGGGGTTGGAAAGGGAGGTGTTGGCAGGAGTCTTCTCTAAGTAAACTGAAAAGCCAGAGAACCTGGTCTAGATAGAAGAAAAGCCTTTTTCAGGCCGAGTGAGGTGGCTCACACCTGTAATCCCAGCACTTTGGGAGGCTGAGGTGGGTGGATCACCTGATGTCAGGAGTTTGAGGCCAGCCTAGTCAACATGGTGAAATCCCATCTCTACTAAAAATGCAAAAATTGGCGGGGCGTGGTGGCACACACCTGTAATCCCATGTACTTGGGAGGCTAAAGTAGAATTGCTTGAACCCAGGAGGCAGAGGCTGCGTGAGCCAAGATCACACCACTGTGCTGCAGCCTGGGTGACAGAGCAAGACTCTGTCTCGAAAACAATATATAGACATAGAAGAAAAGCGGCTGGGCTCAGGTGCTCACGCCTGTAATCTTAGCACTTTAGGAGGCCGAGGTGGGAGGATCACCTGAGGTCAGGGGTTCAAGACCAGCCTGGCCAACATGGCAAAACCCTGTCTCTATTAAAAATACAAAAAAGAAAAAAAATTATCCGGGTGTGGTGGCAGGTGCCTGTAATCCCAGCTACTCAGGAGGCTGAGGCAGGAGAATTGCTTGAACCCAGGAGGCGGAGGTTGCAGTGAGCGGAGATCACACCATTGCACTCCAGCCTGGGTGACAAGAGCAAAACTCCGTCTCAAAAAAAAAGAAGAAGAAAAGCCTTTTTCCCTCTTCCTTGTCCCCTTCCCCAAGGGCCAGTGTCTGTAAAAATCCAAAGCTATAAAGGAGGAGAGAACAACACATCACTGAGAGTGAAGTTTTCACCATAGAGGGTTGTAGGTATGACATGAGGGAGAGGTACATTGAGGCAAGATTGTGAAGCTCCTTATGACAAGCCGACCTACCACTCGATTAGCTCACGTGAAACAAGGAGAGCCTGCCTCACGTCCTTCGCCTTCCTTGTTCGGTGGTTTCCTGCCCTTTCCTGTTGAATTTCAGTGTTCTCTCTTAGTCGATCTATTTGAGGTGTGATTATGTACTTGCTGTATTGGTTCTTCTCTGTGGACGAGGTGCGTACCAAATATCTCTAGTCAGCCATCGTCTGCACTGTCATTTTTAAAACAACTCTGAGAAATATTCATCTAATCATATTTTTCCATAAAGTTACCACCAAAAGTTTATTTTTCTGGCTTCACTTAAAGGACCATTATAAATAAATGAGGCGATCCTTGTTAATTTAATCCTTGTTTCACATGGATTAAACAGAGTGGCAGAACGGGATATGGAGAAAGGCTCCTTTAGATTAAATGGTCCTCAAGGTCTTCTTGGCGCTGATGACATTTAAATTGAGACTGAAAGGAAGAGAATGAACTAACCATTCAAAAAATTGAGGCCGGGCCAGGTGGCTCATGCCTATAATCCCAACAATTTGGGAGGCCGAGGTAGGTGGATCATTTGAGGTCAGGAGTTCAAGACCAGCCTGGCCAACATTGTGAAACATCGTCTCTACTAAAATTACAAAAATTAGCCAGGCGTGGTGATGGGCACCTGTAATCCCAGCTACTCGGGAGGCTGAGGCAGGAGAATCGCTTGAACCGGGAGGCCGAGGTTGCAGTGAGCCGAGATTGTGCCATTGCACTCCAGCCTGGGCAACAGAGCAAGACTCCATCTCAAAAAAAAGAAAAATAATTTCAGGCAGAGGGAACCGCAAATACAAAGGCTGTAAAGTGGGAAAGGGTGCTCTATGTTTGTGATACAGAGAGGGGCTCAGAATGTACCTTCATTAAAAGAAAACCCTGGCAAGAGAAGAGATCAGCAAAGGAGAGAGAAATCTGCACCCACAGGGCTGTGGACTTAGGGAAAAGTTTTATTTTTTCTAAGAAAAATAGAAATCTGTTAGATAGATTGGGTAGATTTAAACCAAAGGAGTGATAATATCGGTTTATATTTTTGAAAGAGGACTCAGGCAGTGACAGGGAGAAGGGGCAGACGGGAATAGGAGTGAAGGAAGCAAACTCAGTTGAAGGCTGGTCTCCTAGAGAAGAGATGGAGGGGAGAGGAGGTGCGCTTTGGGTGGAGGAGAATCAAAACTTGATGATGCGTTTGATGTGCACTGAGGCTGCTCAGAGTCACTCAGCTTAGGAGGTTTTGAACCTGGGCGGCACCCTCCTGTGCTACAATGAGGACTAAGGACGTGTGTTGAACCAGATAACCGGCTTTTCTGCTACCGACATTTTCTCTTTCATAAAACAAGGAAATAACCGAACTGACTTCATGAGGCTGGTGGGAGGAGTCTGTCCCTCCTCCCACGTGGGAGGCCCGTGATCTTTCAAAGTGGACCAACACATTATATTAATTATACTAATCCTTGAATATAATTGGCGATTGGTTGATAGACACTAATGTTTTCAGTGAGAGGAGTGATTCGGTATATAAACAGCTATTCGGAAAGCAGATCCTTGCACTTAACAGAATCCTCTCACATCAGGTCACCCCAGTCCCTCATTTACTTATAATGGTCTTTACGTGAAGCCAGAAAAAATAAATTTGGGTGGTAACTTTATGGAAAAAATATGACTGTTAGATAAATGCTTTTCAGAGTTTTTTTTTTTTTTTTTTTTTTGAGACAGAGTTTCGCTCTTGTTACCCAGGCTGGAGTGCAATGGCACGATCTCGGCTCACCACAACCTTCGCCTGCTGGGTTCAGGCAATTCTCCCGCCTCAGCCTCCTGAGTAGCTGGGATTACAGGCACGCGCCACCAAGCCCAGCTAATTTTTTGTATTTTGAGTAGAGACAGGGTTTCACCATGTTGACCAGGATGGTCTCGATCTCTTGACCTCGTGATCCACCTGCCTCGGCCCCCCAAAGTGCTGGGATTACAGGCTTGAGCCACTGCGCCCGGCCTTCAGAGTTGTTTTAAAAATGACAGTGCAG